GGTGTTGATGTCATTAGACCACACCCCTTCTCATTACAGAGATGCACATCACCTAATATGCTTAATTGGTAGTAGGCTTTCGAGCCTATACAGCTTGGAGTAAGACAACATGCATGAAGAGGATGATGTGGACAAAATACTCATTTGCCTAATAATTCTGCACTCCCTGTATAACATGAACAGACAGCAATTCAATAGTACTCACACTGTGTGACTTTACAATGTCAATCAGACACAAAACACAGCCCTGCCTCTTAGAATGGCTACGTAAGCCTTCATAATCAGCCATAAAATCTTTTATCACACCTCCTACATCACCTGATAAATACATACAGAATGACAACATAATTAAAGCTCTGCATCTATATGAAGCTTGCATTAACTCCTCGGGGTACAATTTTTTGTGGTGGAACTATAAATTCCTACTTTTATCTTACAGCAGTTTCTTCTGAAAACATGAAAAAAAAGAAGAAATCACACAATGTCTCCATCCGCTCCAGAGTGCAGTTATGCTCAAATTAATGTTTACAGAAGAAGAAAGTATACTCAAAAGGTTTTCTTTTCTTTCTATGCTCTTCACACATCAATGTGGCAAGAAACAGTCCTATATTCAGTCTTCTTTTTCTAAATTCTCATTATTTTCTTTCTTCCCCCATTCATTCATTCATTGCTCTATCTCCATCTCCTAGTCTAAGTTGTGTCCTGTGTCTCCTTGTGTACCAATGACATGTAATGACAATGGCGTAAGCACCGATCGATAGGAGTCTGCTTTTGGACTCCTTGGCCACGGGGGACAGAGGCCAGCGTTGATAGCTGGGTGACAGGGACATTGTAGTAGAGTGGCGGGACAAGGTGGATAGGGGGTGGATGTAATTTTTCTGATGAATCTTCATCCTTATCCCACTCACCGGTCATAATGCGTTGATGACAGGCTAATGAGCGCTGCTTATGTTGAAGTGCACACTCTGTGACAGCTGTCTTTTATTCCTGCTATAAAAGTGTCCAAGAGCCTCATTTCTCAAACTATAAAGCCCTGTTTATGTGAACTTTGAGGACATGTCCATACAAACCAGATAGCTAGTGTTTACCAGAGATGTATAGTTACACCTTTAGTCTATAAAAAAGGAAAAATATCCCACCTATTTTACACTGTTGTGCATGTACAACCTGTATGTTTATGTACATATGGTCAACTCATCCATCTGAAGTTTCCAGTAGCTTTAATGTAGAGTACTGTTGTAGACACACGTAGTAAGGAAGTGATAAACATGAACAACATTGCAAACAACGGGTCTAAAATGTTGATCTCTGTAGAATGAAAGGTTTCCTCATGCTGATGTTAAACTGCTCACAGTATGGTAGTTTGATAGTTGTTTTTTTAAGATCCGTTGTATAATATCAAAACTTTCAAAACAGTTTTGGGTTTTTTTTGTATTTAAACCAGAGAAAACAAACTGTTTTATCCAATCTCTTCAGAACTTGTTTGGGGGACAAAAATAACTACATTAAATGTTGATGAGAAAATGACTCTTCTTCTCATATGATTTATTAGGTTGGGAAATATTTTTCTAATGAGTTTATGATATTGATTGCTATTTTCAACTCTTCTTCAATAAAGCATCATATTCATGCTGTGAATGGTGGTCTCATTTAGAGTCAAATAAGCATTAAGTCATAGTAGGATTTAGAATTTGACTACCTTTTGATTGGCATATCACAACTGCATGGTATCCAGCACCACTGTACCTAAAGTAACTGGGATTGGTGTTAAACATGTGGCACAGTTTTCCAACAAAATTTTCCCAGAGCTTTTCTAATAGAGCAAGTGATTTTCAACATAGCATTTCTAAAAATATTAGTTTTCTTTAGAAAGCATGAATTCTTTCTATTTGCACGAAAGAACAGAATTATTTCAGTAAAAAAATAAATAAAAAAAAACAACTACCACAGTCAGTGTTATTAGCCCCTCGAGAAACGGACCTTTTTATTGAGCTCTGACACAAACCACTGCTGTGCAATGATGTTCTTTTACTCTGTTATACTCAAAGCTTGTGAAATCAAGTTAAAACTGAGGGATATCTTCCAATTTATACACAGAATAAAAATGCCGAAGACAGAAGACATTCGTTTAGAGGAAAAGAATTGTTGATGCTCACAAAGCAGGAGATGGATATACAAAGTTATCACAGCATTTCCAAGTTTCAAGAACTGGAGTGAGATGTATCTTCAAGAAATTCAGAAAAAGCCACACAGTACAGAAGCAAAATACTTCAAAGACTCTGTAAAGCAAACTAGTGAGAGATGTGTCTAAAGACCCCAGAACAACAGCCAAGACTGAAGTACGCTAAGGGCAACCTGGAGAAGGATTATGCTTACTGGAAGTGCGTCCTTTGGTCGGATGAGACAAAACTAGTGCTCTTTGGACACAGACCAGACATGTTGCTTTTATTTGGAGAAAGAAGGAAGAGACACACAACTCAAAGAACATTGTTCACAGTGAAACATGGTGGTGGGTGTATTATGCTGTAGGGATGCTCCTGGAACTGGGAATCTCATCAGGGTGGAAGGAACCACCAACAAGGATGCATGAAGATTTGAAAAGAAAACTGAGTCTGGATGGTCGCTTTGTCTTCCAACATGACAAATGTTTGAAGACTAACATGTGTCACTTCTGGTAAAGAACTACCTCCAGAGGACCAAGTGAAAATTATTGACTGACCTCCTCAAACCCCTGACTTGAATCCCAATGAAAATCTGTTAGTTGAACTGAAGATCAAAGTTTATGACAGAAGACCATTCAAATCTGAAAGAAGGGTTTTCAAAGAAAAATAAACTTTGGATGTTTGGAAAAGTGTGTAAAGAATTCCTTGCTCTGTCTAACAGCACTTGGGAAATATACATACATATATATATATATATATATATATTTAAGTTTCATAGGGGGAGCTAATAGTTCTCTCCTCATCTGTAAGTAGTATTTGATTCAAGGCTGTTTAACTAATTCCACCATGAATAGCGGATGCTTCTTGCTAACCACGTGAGGCAGTGTAAGCATTAGCTGATGAGCACAACCTCTTTTCTCAGCATCAGTTAAGTACTTTGAAATTAATAATAGGTAAATGTTACATAGTTTCACAATCCTGCATTGTACAATACAGTCACAACCTTGTAGGTCAGTTTGCATCTTCACAGATTCAATGTGTTGCACTCAAAGGTGTGCATACACAAAGTTGAGAAATAAGGGTCTTTATTATTTTATAGCTTTTCAACGATCACCCACTGTTCATGAAGCTATAAAAGCAAGTTGATGAAACTATAACTAATGCTGCCATGCACAGAGAACAGTAAAGGGTATAGTCCATGCAAACAAAGGGAAGCATATGAATGAAGGTGGCACTATGAACGTGATTCAACAGTTTTAGAAAACAAGTCTCAGATTGCCAATTACATCTAAAACAGAAGGACTGAACTGAAGGATGGCTATGGAGGAGGAGCACAGTGGAGGAGGGGGTGGTAGGGTGCTTTCACTCAAAGAAAATAATTTATTTCATTGTGATATTAAAATCAATGACATCGATTGAAAGGTGGCTAAAGGTGAGCGTGTACATGATCCTTTAGCTGTGAGAGGCAAAATGTCCAAAAGGGAGGGAAAGAAAGAGAGACGAGGAAAAGGAGGAGTAGAAGAAGAAGAAGAAAAAAAGGTGGCCAAAGGAAAAAGTCACCTCCTAGTTAACAAAGAGGGGAAAGGGAAGAGGAAAAGAGGAAAAAAGAAAGAAGGAAGAGAGAGAGAGGGTGGGAGGGAGGGAGGGAGAAAGGAAAAAGAGCGGGGCTCTTGCCCAGTGGAATCAATACAGAGAGGTGGAGCAGAGTACAATAGCCTCAGAGGAGAGGAGATTCAGTGGTGCAGGTCTAATACTCTCTGTCTCATACACACACACACACACTCGCCCCACTCTGAATCCTTTTTGCTCTTGCTTTCTCCTGACATTTCCCTCTATATCCTTCCTCTATTTAATTTCTTTCTCCTTCTCTCTTGCTTTCTTGCTCATTCTGTAGCCACCCTCCACCTCGTGCCACCCATACCCAAACATACACACACAGACACAGTCTGTATGCAGAAGGATGCAGAAGAGAGAGAAGGCCTTCTATCCAAAGAGGCTAACCACAACACAAGCTTTTTTTCTCCTGAAACCAGACACTGAAGTCAAAAACTGACACTCCTGCATGCATGCATGCATACCAGCGAATCAACACACACAGATATATTGTTTCTTAAAACCCAGTCACTTTCACACACAGAGGGCAGAGTCAGAGGCACTTGAATGCAAAAAAGAAGAAGAAAAAAAAAGGTGAAGACTTCAACACACACATACAAAACAGCACACACAACTACTCCAGCTCTATCAGCACTTGAGACTAGTGAGGCTTCAATTAGTTCTTGATGAATGAGCCCATAAGATGCCGCTCTCTCATTTCCCTTGTTGCCAGATATCCAAGCAATCAGAGAGAAATGAATTCTCATTGTGGCATGACTGAGACGAAGATGACGGTGGTAGGGCGGTGGTAGGGCGGTGGTAGGGCGGTGGTAGCGGCTTGGGGGAGGAGGGCACTAACATAAATCATTCACCCTCTCCGCTCAGAGCCAGAGCTGAGCTTTGTCACACCAAACCTGACAAGATTTGCCGATTTAACATCTTTTGTTTTTTTGTTTTTTTTAGTGCACACTGCACACATCTTGTCGAAGTATTGCACAGAATTGTTGCATTATGCAAGTTTCTAATTTAAATATATTTTTTCAGAAATGTAAGTTTGTTTCTGGTATAATTGTGTAAAGCAAAGGCAATGCATACTCAACTGAGATAAAAGCTTTAAGAGGGTAAATACTGCAACAACAAAAAAAGTGCCTTAGTTTTTAGATGTTGACTGCCAGCAAATGCAGATTTTATATATTTTATTTATAACGTGTGTGAACATGTTTGTTGCAGTAAAGTTAGACTCACCATCATCAATGATGCTGACCACGACTCCATGTCCAGTAACGTTGTTCCTCCAAACCGGCATCAAATTCAGGTCAGTCGCATCAGTGTACTCACCCTGTGCAAACTATACACACACAGACACATATATACACAATATTATTAAAATGCTAGCATCACAAAAAAAGTATAATTTCCTTTTTTCTACTTTTTTCCAAGTCTACTTGGTGGCACGCTGATATCCTCACAGAGCCTTGGTCAGTATATTTACTAGCAGACACAGTAAATATACTGTAACAATGGCATAAATCAGATATCAACTGCTTTCTGTTTTTGTTCACTGCAAAAAACAGTCAGTGTGCAATAGGCTCTTAACACTGCAGGTAAAAAAAATAATAGAGACAGTGTTAGATTCTTGTCTACTGCAATCCACTGTGCCGCGGCACATAGGTGTGCCTTGAGAAATGGTCAGGTGTGCCGTGGATGATGATCTGGTTTCACCTGGTTAGTACTCTAAGCGATCGGCGTGAGTAACGTGCAGAACAATTACATTCTCTTCCACTAGAGGGCAGTACAACTACCTGCTCTAATTAAATGGGTTGCCAACTGCCATTAAAAACAGAAGAAGACGAAGAAGAAATTACATAATAGTCATGCTGTGAGACAATGCAGCACGTAATAGCAACAGATAAATATTTGAAAAGAAAAAGTAGTCAATCTGATCTGGGTCCTGGAGAAAATTCCAACCCAGGTGAAGGCCCTAGCATGAGAAGTGGTCAGAAGAAAGCACAAAAGGTATAATGGGGACAAACCGAGCCAATTCTACTATACCTGATGTGCGGGGCAAAATTATCAATATGCTTTTTGTGAGTTTTTTGTTTGGTGGTGTGCCGTGTGATTTTTCTAATGTGAAATATGTGCCGTGGCTCCAAAAGGTTGGGAAACACTGGTCCTACTGGATGGATGAATGGTCAAAACACTGTGCATTATTATTATTACTGTACTGTATATGAATATATTACCCTCTGAATTTTTGCTACATGTGCATTAATGGAAATGTTTACTTCAGTCGCTGGGTTATGTTAACTTGTGAGGAAACATGTGCACATACAGTGATACTTTCAGAAACCATATGTACGTTCAAAGTGCCCATAAGAAGCCCGGGGAGTTCATGGACGAGTCACATAGACAGGTCTTTCATCCTTTCACTTCAAACCACACAATCCACCCACACGCACACACACACAAATCCATACACTGCTGTGCAGAAATCCCACCAACGTGAGGCACGAGAACCATCTTGGCAGCTCCCATGAGTCCTAATGGCCCCACACACTACACAGACACATTCCCTTGATAGCTTTAAGTGAAGCTTCAGTCTTGCATCTTCATGCAAACACATTCTCACAGGAGCACAAACCATAAAGGTAGTGCCAAAAGGTAGCGCGCAAGCTGTCTCACCAAAAATGTCAGCAGCTTCCCAAACATCCCCTGCCCACACACACAAAGCCAATCTGATATTCAAAGTGAGTTTTTCAAGAGGCTTCATTTTGTTATCATGATGAAGAGAGAGAGGGAGAGAACGAGGGGGAGAAGAACACACAATGGAAAAAATGGTTACGAGGTGGTGGCAGTGGGTGGTGGTAGTTGTGGTAGGCAGGACTTGTTTGTGTGTGTCTGTGTGTTTGTGTGTGTGTGTGTGTGTGTGTGTGTGTGCTTTCATATGTGTGTGTTTTGGGGGCTGCATCTGGGGAGCAGCAATGCTTTGTTGTTGTTGTGTGAATAAAGCTGATGAATGGAGGCAGCTAGCAGGCTAACGTCCACCATAGCACGAGGACCGGCCCAGGGGAAAACGCACACACAACCAAAGGTACACCAAAATAAACTCACACACACACCTTTGTGAACTTGGATATAAGCCCACAGAGAGGCATTTTGAACACTGATTCACCCCACGCAGTCGTAGAGTGATCACCAACAACATACACACACACACACGCGCAGAATCATGATCATTCTCTGAAGCACTGAAATATACTAATCGTGTGTTTCTCTAGTAAATGAACATTCTGGCACACACAAGCACAAATGCACACATGATCAAAGACATATACCCTTGGAGTTTTGGAAAGTTCATGCAACAAGAGAAAACAACAGTGGCACTTTTTCTATGCAGAAGACACACATGTAAACAGAGTGATAACATAACAATCTCTGGCTTCCCTGCCTTTATCGCAGCTGCCCCTCAGTGAAAACATACACACACTCTCTCTCATATAAACACACAGTAGGCACGCTCAAGATGCTGCGTGGATTTCAGAGGCTTTGAATGAGCTCCTCAGGAGGGGCTTGACTCAGTCTAACAAAAAGGGTACAATAGGCTCCACTTGCCTTGTGTGTGTACAGGTGGGTATAGCCCATCAGGTACAGCTTTTAGCGAACATACATGCCCGACTAGCACACACACACACACAAACATATATTTGTCTGGTCCTGGCAGGCTACCAACCCTGAGCAGATTACTGACCCTCAATCAATATCTACGTCCACCAGAGGCTGATTAAACACAACAGAACGAAAGCAGGAGAGCAGGGCTACTGAGCAGGAGAGAGAGGGAGGGCCAGACAGAGAGAGCAATGTCCTCAACGTTAAAGACGCCTTTCATTTTTCTTGATTAATGAGTGATTGATAATTATGTTCTATTTCTCAGTTCATGCAATCATTCCATAAAGTTAACGTTAATCCGCTTAGTGTCATACTGCATGCTCCAGCACATGAATCATACTGCGCTGCATAAACAATCTTGTCAATAACCTTCTTAAATCGAGAGAGGTGACTATGTGCAACAAAATCGTGCTTATAAGAAAAGAAACCGTCAGATTTTTTTCCCCCTCACTAGTGCTTCATATGCCCCCATCATCTCTCCTGACTTCCTCTGTTTCTGTCTTCACCTCCCTCCACCCCCATCCTGACTTTCACCCCTTCATCTTGCCCTGAGAGCTGAGGTGTCAATCATTCTGTTGCCGGTTGCTCTGGTGAATCTCTGACCCCGCCCCTCCTCCTCCTCGCGCTGCCAGATTACGCCCTCGTACGTCAGTCAAGAACGTCTGCCCTGACGATTGGACGAGCCCTGGTTGCCCTGTATTAGTAATAAACCAGACACTAATACAGGCTGTTGAATTGTTGACTACACTTTGGTAAGAGTAAAAGAATTATTAAGACCTATCAAGGAATTTATAAAGCATAAGTTACATAATGTAACCAGTTGTGTAAATGCAAACATAATCTAAAGAAAAAAAACAGGGACGGGGTTTCTCAATAAGCAGCTTTCCTATTCAGCTGTTTACTGAGCTTTAATATACTTTTTGGTATCAACCGAATGTGTCAGGAAAGGTACTCAAGGCTGTTAAGCGCATACGTTTCTGAAATAAACTGAAACGTGTGTGCTTAAACACATTTTTAAAAAATTAATAACAGCTTACGAAGAGTCATAGACATAACTGTGACAATATAATGACCAGTGTTGGTTTTTTCCCCTCAGAAAAGATTCATTCAACAAACATTTCTAAAGACAGTTCCAGAACTTTGTGTCTTAAAGTTACAGTGTCTAAAATGTTCAATGCTAGATGTCAGTAGACTGCAGATATCAATTAACTGAGGCTTTCTCGCCCCTCCCAATTCAAGTACATAAGTCTAGCTGTAGGAAAAACATGTTTTAGTCAGGTCAGAAAGATCAAAAATATGAAATTTAGACTGTACCCCATAACAACCATGGCCAGCCGGCGTGTTTCTGCTATGTTTGAACCAGATTCGCTCTGGAGTTTTTCCCCATGTGTTAAAGTCCACTGTTTACCTCAACTGTCAATGCCGGGCGAGAAACCTCCACCTTTATTTACTCCAGGAGTGGGGGAACTCCAGGCCTCAAGGGCCGGTGTAATGCAGGTTTAGACGTGTCCTTGATCCAACACAGCTGATTTAAATGGCTAAATGACATCCTCAACATGTCTTGAAGTTCTCCAGAGGTCTGGTAACAAACTAATCATGTGATTCAGGTGTGTTGACCCAAGGTGAGATTTAAAACCTGCAGGACACCGGCCCTCAGGGCCTGGAGTTTCCCACCCCTGATTTACTTTGTAAGGGGCTGTAAAACGTTGTGGACGGACTCTAATATACAGCTCACTGAGTCAGAGAAGCTCACTTCTAAATGATGACAGCCATACTGAGGTCCGTTATTGAACATATGCTGAGCAGTCGGCAAGCGCTACTGTTTTTCGCGCTGTTAGCTACTCTTAGCCTCTTAGCCTGCTGTTAACACAAGAAATATTGTTGGACTCTGACACTTAGCAAATTAGCTCTCATACTATGTAAGAATGTAATCAAATCAGCAGGAATGTGGGATTCTCTTGAACCTTAACATTAGCTGGTTTAATGTGAGCTTATAAACAGCTGTTGTTGTTGTTTAGCCGGCTCTTGTCTGGTGTACAGAGACAGGAAGGTCATCTAATGTAGCTGACAATAACTAACTGCAACAATATTGGGAATAAATAAGTATATTTATGCACATTACAGTTTCGGAGACGAGGCTTGAGATAAGGAGGAAGAGGATGATATCATGCAAACTCTAAAATTAACTTGAAATTCTGATTGAGATGCTAATCTGTGAATTTTGACTACTTGAAATATTTTATAATAAAAGGCTATAGATGCAGCTATTAAATAATTTGTACGTTATTAAAAAATAAGATATTTTATCAAAAAATATGCCTTTTTATACCCAAGCATCCTGTCACTTTGCTCCTTTTGGTCTTCTCAAACATAGTGTACAAGTATCGTCCAAACAGGATGAACAAGACTCTGCAGAATGGATGAGCATGTCTTGTTGTTGCAGCCCAGTTGTGTGTCAGTGTTGCTCCGAGCCTCATCAATCCCTGACATCTGTCTCAGTTCAACATGGACAACCCCCTTCACCTCCTCTCTCGCTCGCTCTTTCCTCCTCCACAATCCCCCCCATCTCTCTATCGTCCGTCTCACTCTCCAGTCACACATGAAAGCCTGCCTGACTTATGCCTGTCAGAGGAACATCCTTCAACATGAAGATGAGAAAAGTCGGGGTGGGGCTTCCAGATAAGACCAATGAACACATACAAACACACACTACTACACATACACTTACACATAAATACACCCACCAGTTCCCACTGCATGGGCCAGAGAGGGTCATTGAAGGTGAGGGACTGGTCACTCTTATTCTCTTCGGGCTGCTTGTCAGTTTCAGACTCTTTCCTGTGGGGACCTGCAAGCACACACAAATATCATGTATAAACGTGTGCATGTAGTCTTTCTTTCCTTGTCCTGAACTCTGACTTCAGGACATCCCTGGTTCCCAACCAGCCTCCCAGATCTCCTTTTTCTCCGCTGAGGTGGAATTCTACTGGCAGATTACCATATCATTAGCATATTATTAGCATCTCATTGCTGCAGAACAGCTTGGCTCGCTGTCTGCAGAAGAGCCATCAGCCCATCAAGGCCTGCACCTTTCCTTCCCTACATTTAATGTTACACCGACTGCCACTCGTTTTCACCCATGCACAACCCTCTCTCTCAGTGCTCTCTACTATCTTCTCGCTATCAGTTTGTTTGATAATTTCTTGAACTGCCAAATTAATTGATATCACACTAGCCTTTTCTGGAAGTGACTGTAATGAAACATCCCACACAAGTATAAATATATCTCAAGTATTAGGATTAATAGGAGATCATTTGGTTCCAAACCAATTTAAATTTTCTTGCACGACTCTCTCCAGTGTAGCATTGCTATGAAACAAATAATAATTACAGTTGCTTTACCTTAATAGACTCTGATTAGGAATTGTGTTTTACCGCATGTAAAACACAAATTTAAAATCTGCCTCTGGACACATGACCCAGTATGCAGAGTGTTGTCAGTAAAGCTAACTTATAACAGTAGAGAACCACAAGTATAGTATTGTTAGAGAGATTCTTCCAAGTCTTTCAGATAAAAAAATACTTTTTTTCATATAAAGTAATGTGAATGTAGTTGAATACCACAATTAAAGACAATTAACAATACGCTAATGTATATCTGGACCTTTGGGAGACGAATGTGTCCCATTCTCATTGTTCAAGAGTCCTGGGTCTCCTTTGTCATATTTATCATTTCATTGTGCATCAAATGTGTTCAACTGATGAAAGCTCTGGACTGCAGACAGGCCAATTCAGTACCCGGACTCTTCTAATATGAAGCCATACAATAGATGCATGATTTAGTTGAGCATTTCTGGTTGAAATATATGCGGCATTCCATAAAAAGATGTTTGTATGGGACTCTATGTCACTTAAAATCTGTATATATATTTCAGTGCTGATGCTTCCTTTCCAGATGTGCAAGCTGCCTTTTCCATAGGCAATAAAGTACCCCCATGCTACCAGAGATGCTGGCTTTTCAACTGAGCACTGACAACAAGCCAGATGGTCCAATTCCTCTTAAGTCCTGAGGCTGTGGCATCTATGCTTTCCAAAAAGAATTCCATACTTCGATTTGTCTGACAGAACAGTTTTTATTTTATTTTAAATGAGCTTTGGTCCAGAGACGACAGCAGTGTTTCTGGATTATGTTCAAGTATGACTTCTTCTCAGCATGATAAAGCTTTAACCTGCACTTGTGGATGGCACAACACACTCTGTTCATAGACAGTTATTTTTGGAAGTATTCGTGAGCTCATGCAGAGTTTTTTCATGTCAGTCATGCCTGTTTTCAAATGTAGTGTTGCCTGAGGACCAGAACAACACAGACATCCATTACTGATTTTCAGAAATGAGGTTGTATTTTTATTAAACATTAATAAAATACGAAATTTTAATTCACCATGACAAATTTTCTTGATCACTTTGCTTTACTGTTTAACTTCAAGTATCGACATGTGTTTAAGTAAATATGCAAGGACAGTATAGGACAAATACATGAATGTAAATCAAATCCAACACAATTAAAAAAGAAAGAAATGTTAAAAAATAATTTTTACATACATTCTCTGGGATTTTAGATCACTTTAGGAAGTAAAATGATTAAACTGTGTAAAATAAAACTGCTCAAGGTTGCCTTGTCCCTTGCAGATGGTGTGGTATGATTCTCTGATTTTATTGTTAATATTATATACTGTAAATAATGAGATATTCAAAGTCTTAGCAATTTTACATTGAGAAAAATTATTTTGAAGTTGTTTCACAATTTCTAGACACATTTGTTTTGCAGACTGAAGAACCTCTTCCCATCTTTACCTCTGAGAAACGCTGCCTCTCTAAGATGGTCTTTTTATATAGCTATATTTATATAGCTAGCAATCACCCACTGATGCTCTTGTGGCAGTTTTTCAGCTCAGGTTAGTATCTATTCATCTTCAGGGATGATATGGTTGAGTACAAATTCACTGAATTCAGAGTATATGAGGACATGCGTTCATATAGTCTGAATTCAAAGAGTTATAACACTAAGATAGCGGTATACTGGAAGCCAAACAGCTGACAGCATTATAGTGCCAGGATTTAAAATGACACAGTACTGGATTTAACAGACTACATATTTTATATATATATACACACTACTGCCATCAAATCCAGCCGCCCACATAACAGTGAATACCTGCAAATTAAATAGAATATTATCCTCCAAAATATTTTCTCCACCATCTATGCTCAGATCTATGTGGACTGAAGAGGTTGTACACCGGTTGTGTATACTTGTAGAAGACAAATATGAACCTCTTCTTCAGCGCACGATGCAGCTGGAACATGACCAGAGGACCCTGAAATTCTTTAATGTTTAAATTTTCATTATACAGTCATTTGAAAAAATAATTACATCCCACTGAAACGGCAGGCTTTTTGGACGTATTTGGACAAGCAAACATTTGATCCACTTTGAAACAGTGCCCACAGATAAGGAGATAATCAAAAGAAAAATATCAAAAGATGCAATTTTCTTCTGTGAAAAGAGTATGCCCACCCTTCGCTTCAGAAGCTAGCATGTCGACCTTTTAACAGAAAAATAAAAAAAAATCTTGTAGGCGTTTTGCTCAATTACCCACCAGTCTTTGACAACGGCTTGCTAAAATTTTTTGACCCTTCTTCCATGCAAAATTCCTTCAGTTGCGAGATGTTTGAGTGCTTTCTTACATGTACTGCCAGTTTCAAATCCCACAACATTTTGATGGGATTTTTCCTGGGGTTTTTTTTCCAATAAAAATTGTTTTTTCTTTTCTAACAATGTCTTGGTGGAATTGTTTGTTTAGGATAATCCTGCTGAGAGGTCCACTTCCAGTTCACCTTTCAGACAAATAACCATATATTATCTTTCAGCTCTTTGATATGATGCTGAATTCATGGCCGAATCACTGACCCCAAGTTGTGCAAGAAAACCACACCAAAGCATGACATTTCCACACAGTTCATATGAGTTTCTTCTCCTCAAAAGCCACCTTTGGTCTGATCCAAACATGTCAACTTTTGTTGCGGCCAAACAACTACTTTTGATTTGTCTGTCCAGTGGACATTTTTCCAAAAGCCCTGGTCTTTACCTTTACAGTCACTGGCAAACTGTGCTGTGCACTATTAAACATTGTGAGGCCAAATTAGTATAATCTCTTTCTGACAATACAAATATACATTTTCCCAACAACATTTGCCAGTTATGGGCAGATTCTGTCATGAGACTTCTTTTAGCAGCGCAGCTCCTGTGATGAATCTGCTGGGGTAGCCGGTCCCAAAAAATCAAATTGGCAGTCAAGTTGAATCTTTCTCAGTTATAGATGAAGTTCTACTTTTTCTGCTTCTTCTGGCTGCTCCCTTGAGTGGTTGTCACAGCAGATAATCTTTCTCCACCTCACCCTATCGCTAGCGTCCTCCAATGTCACACCAGCCCCCACATGTCCCGCTTCACTACATCCTTCCTGCACACGTACAGACCATCTCAACTTTGCCGCTCTAACTTTATCTCTAAAATGCTCGACCTGAGGTGTCTTTCTGATGTACTCATCTTAATCTTATTACTCCTCACAAAAACCTTGGTATCTTCAGATCTGCCACCTCCACCTCGGCCTCCTGCCTGTTCGTCAAAGCAGGTCTCTGCAATTTCTCTTCAGATCTTGATGGTTCACCACACTTCGATAACAATTGGAACACCAGACGCTGGATGTGAGAGGTTGAAATAACACATGTTCCACCTGTCTCTCCCCAAGAAGGCTCTAATCATTGGCACCTAATCAGGAACACCTGATTCTAACATTATCAGTCTGACAGTGTTGGTAATATTGGGATACACTTCCTCTCTTTCATGCTTCTGATTTGTTCTTATTGATTTATTTCTTAACAAATATTTGACAGTGGCTAGCGTAGTGGCTTACACATTTGCCTAATTAGCGAAAGATCCCAAGTTTGTTTCTGTGAAGGGACACAAATCCCTTTGGGGTTTTGTCAGGAAGGGAATGTTGTGTAGAAATCTCCTTTACTGACAAATCTGTTGTCAGTAAAGGAGCAGTTGAATATAGTTATATTTTATAATGACATCTAATATGTAACAACACAACTTCTTATCTTTTAGTCTTCAAATGATTTGTGTTTGCTTGTCCAAATATGTCAAATAGGTTATCTGCAGGTTAAATATATCACGTGTAGTAAGGTCCATATTTTTGAGACATTTTGCTTCTGGACACCAATACAGTGGATTTAAATCAAACAGTCAAGATGTGACTGAAGCTTTAATTGTACTGTATTAAATGTTTAGGAATTACACACATTTGTGCATGTAGAGCCAGTAGAGACTAAAAGGTTATTGGACAATTAACTGATACATGTTTCATGATTAGTTCCCTTCTTATTCCATGGCAACTTAAGCTGACAAAAGATCGGAAGTTGATTCCAGTAGTTCGATGTCCATTTCGTAACTGTTCACTAGAACTCTCAATATGAAGTTATGAAGAAATGTCAGTGCAAGTTAAGGGAGCCATCCTGAGACTGGAATATCAAAATAAACCTCTCAGAGAGATAGCAAAACTTATGTAGTAGCTAAAACAACAATTTGGTAAACATTCTTCATAAAAAGAAGAAAAAAAAAACGACCGACTCAGCAATACCAAAAGGCCTGAAAGACAACTAAAGTGTAAAATTATTTTTTTATTTTTTTTTTTTTTTTTTTAAATGACATCAGAAACAGCAGTATGCGACATTACGTGATGGCAGAGCTTCAGTTCATCCTTTGTCATTTTTTTTTTTTTTTTT